TATGTTTCTAAGAACGAGCAGTAAACTACAGAATTTAAGAACAAAACTGCATTTAGGCCTTTAGCAACTGGTCAAGATGATCCCTGATCTTTTTTTCAGAGATACTTAAAAATTGCTATATAAATAATTTTACGCCCTTGTCCCTGAGGTTAAAGTGAAAACTATACATCACACACCCATAGTATTTTGACTCGTGTCTTATCATTGGAGATGTGTAAACATATCTGTAACTAAACAGTCGAAGAACATTTTACCCACATTTGAAATAGCAGTTGTAGGCCAGGTGATTACTTCTCAGAGTAGATGGCCAGCCGCCCTGTTCTAGAGTGTGTTTGCGGACGAACTGGTTTAAGAGATTGGGATTTCATGTTATCAGTGACGCTTATAAAGACACCTTCCATAGATTGACAATTTGACTTATTCGAATAAAATAAGAAAAAAAGTAATTAGCAAAGGATTTCTAGCCTAGTACATGTTTTCTAGTTGCTTAGGAGAAAAGGAACAAATAGGTTTCGTTCAGCTCTTTTTCTGGGCATGATTTATCAGTTCACTTTGCTTCCAGTCTCATTTTCTTCCTAAGTGTGGTTTTCCCACAGTGAAACTATATGTATAAAAATGGTATTTGTAGATGATCTATAAGTCTCTTATTTAAAACTGTTATTAACAAATGTTTGAGTTCTTGTTGTTTCATAACACTGTGCCAGCTGCTGTGGGATAAGAAAAAATAATTTCTGCCAACCAAAGAGCGCACATCTAGGGATGAATAATGCGCATGTATGATGCTGTGGGCTAGGGATGGGAGGATGAGTATTCTCGAGGCTTCAAATACAAACTGGTGTCCTGATGAGGAACTCCTTTTACATAGTGTTGCAGCGCTGGATGTGTGTGGGTGAGGCCGGCATAGGAGCAGGTGAAGCTGGGGGGTGTGGTGTCTTTAAAGCCTGTCTTTCTTCTGAAATCAACTACCAGTGAAGAAACAAGTACTTTAGATTTGTATTTGTAGCATACATATAGTCAGTCATCTCTTTAGAGTTCCAAGTAACTGCCAGTGTCCAAATAACATGTTTTTCTAAAGAAATATTTTATTTTTGAGTATCAACAGTCTTAGTAACTTTTGTATCCCTCTTATGTGCTGAGTTCAGTCGGAGGAAGAGGAATTGGAGTTGGTGAGTGTGTGTTTCTGCCTGAAGGGAGTTGCAAATGATTTAGAAAGTACTCATTCTCTTAAATGTTTTCATCTAATGTGTGTTCCCTGTGTTACAGTTTTTCTTGTAGTTATTAAACACTCTGCAAGCACTTTGAATCACTGAGCCGAACTGCTGGTACTACAGAGTCTTTCCAGTTTTTCAGTGTATAATTGTGTCTCTTGACCCATTTTGTTTGCTGGAGGGAACGCTGGAACGGAGCTTTTAAAAACAATAGCTGTCAATGATCACAAGACACTTACTTGTAAAGATTTTTTTTTAAGGAAAGATACAAAATACCGTATATAGTTCCCCAAATTAACTTGTTTTTAGAAAATGACCTCACCCTCGAAGTTCCTCAGATTGTAACACATGGTCTTGTGCCATTTTTCTTTCTTTCAAAAAGATGACATCATTTTTGGTGAGGTCACCTTTTTCAGAGTTGGAATTATTTCACATCATCTGAGATGGTCTGAACCATAAGGGGGTTTCCTTTTTACTGAAACGAATGTAATTTAATATATACAGATTTTATACTTTTGTCTGGTAGGAGATGCTCTAGTCTTAAAAGTAGCTATTTTTTTCTAGAACAAATGATTTCTAATGGCTTTTCTAGAAAATAAATTTGACTAAAAGGGACTTTATTTGATCTATTCTTTGAGATCTAAGCCCCCAGATTCACAGAAATGATCATATGAATTCAAAGTCAGCTGCTAATTGGATGTTTATAAGGTTGAAAAACTTGAAAATGTTTTAGTTTGTAGCATGGTCAAGCATTCATATTGCATGAGAGCATGGGGGGAAGGCATCTGTTGGTTTTATTTATATTTTATTATTACATATATATGCATGCTGGTGTGTTTTGCACAGTTTGTTTCTTTTTAGATAAGGTTGTCTGTGCTCTGTCCTTAACATAAGGGGTCATTCTTTAACTTTGTGATCACTCACAGTTTTAGATGTGGTTTTCTATTTAGGTAAACTAAAATATATTAGTTCGGTGACATTGTGGTGTTGGATTACATCATGTGCAGAATCAGACTATCTTCTGGGGAAATACTTTGTTTAGTGATACAGTAATGATTAGAAAATGGATTTTATAATTCAGTATAAAATAATTCATCTTAGATGAGTTACCTTAAAGTTGTCAGGAGTGCTTCCTTTCAGTTCTGTAGCAATAGGCTGCCCTCTAGTGGTTCCACATGTTCGCTTACTCAGAAAAGTCCGTGCCATTGAGATTAGGATCTTTGATGGTTGGAACCAATATGTTGGTGTTCACTGGCACGCACGTGCCACACACACACACACACCCACACACACACACACAAAACCGTCCCTTCTTGAGGTCATGCCAGGAGATTGCCATGGAGATGAAGCTCTGGCATGGATAGTGTCAGGCCAAACTGGGTCATGCTGTGTTCTTTTTGCCTAGTATTTGACTCTTGAATTTCCAGTGACCAAATCTTAAAACAAATTATATACTCCAAAGTATGTCTCTACCTCAAAAATCCATTAAAATTATTAACTCGATGCTGAGATGAAAGTGTATTTCCTAGTTGCCATAGAGTGACTTCCACATTCCTTAAAGTACACTCCCAGTTAGAATCTTAAAGATAAATTTCTAAGTCTTTGAAAACTACAAAATGTAGAAACCATAAATGGTATTTGTAATTAAGAAACAAATACATAACCCAAAACTCTAAACAATTCATATCCTTTAAAAATTATGCTGATTCAGATCCTATTGAAATTTTTTTAGTGTTTATTTTTGAGACAGATTGTGCAAGCAGGAGGAGGGACAAAGAGAGGGAAGACACAGACCATCGGAAGCAGGCTCTGTGCTGTCAGCGCAGAGCCCTATGTGGAACTTGAATTCACAAACTGTCAGGTCATGGCCTGAGCCAAAGTCAGACACTCCACCAACTGAGATACCCAGGCGCCCCATTTTTTTAAATTGTTTTTCATTGTTTATTCAGACTCTAAAACATAATCAGTTTTAAATGCGGAGCTTTGTCAGAACCAAAATAATAATCACAGATACCATCTATTAGCATTTAGAAAGTTGTTCAGATTGACTTGAGCTCTCATATATAATCAAGGATGGCTCTGACCCAAGGTGAGGCAGGACAGGCGCCACTGAAGACTCTTCGTAAGAGCCAGGCTGCAGAGATCCCTTGAGCAGCCTTACTGTTCTGAAACAGCCTCGCTTCATGGAGGCTCCGGGCGGCACACCTGTGGGTCAGAAGGAGGGAATGTATTTATCCTCCCTCTTTCTTTGTTAACCAGTTATATAGAAATCTTGGGCCAGAGGGTTTCTTGGGACAATAAAGATACTGTGTCACATCTGTGCAGTACTTCAGTTACCAGAGTACTTCCCACCTCTGAGCTCACTAGAGCTTTCCAAGGTAGGACTACAAGATCACTATCTTCCCTACTCTCCAGAGAGGTTCAGAGAGGTTAAATGAGTCTTCCCCCCTCCCCTCCCCCCCCTTAGGAAGTAGTGAACTGGAGACAAAAACCCAGGTGCTATAATCACATACTGAATGGTCTTTTTTAATTAGAATAGAAACTTAAGATCGGGCAGAAAATACAAACTAAAAAGAAATAAACCGATCTGGATCCTTATCATATGATCAGCATTCAAGTATCTAGATCTAGCCAAAGGCCTTCATCTGATTACCCTTTGGAAATGGTGATAGAGAAAACTGAATCACACTCTGACTCTTTGTAATCTTAAGGGTGCTGAATTTATTGACATGGCTTAGACCCCGGATGTCGGTCATCAGGTTGTAACTTCTTCATTTAAAATAATAAAATAAGCCTGGAGGAGGTGTGCTTTGGCCTTCTTGTGTGCTGACCACATGGACCAAGGGGTCTGTTCCTCTGATCTTGGTTTTGGAGTGCTCCCTTAGGCCACTGTGGTGAGAGAGTGCTCTTGTCACACACACACCCCTCCCCCATGTACAGGAGTGGCCATCTTAAACTGACTTGATTATTAAGTTGGTTTTTAAAATTCATTCCTAGTGTAGATAGGATACCCTGTAGATGGAGTCATCTAATTTTGCATTTAATTTTGCTCCATTCACAGCTCTACCAAAAGTACGTTAGTCACAAGCTCTCTTCGCAGAGCCTCTCCTTTCAGAAGAGTTGAGAGACTGAGGGATGCATATCTGAACCTGCTAAGAAATAGGTCACTGGGTGGGTGATGTTGACAGTGGGGGAGGCTGAGCACGTGTGGGGGCAGGGTTAGTGGTGTGTGCGTGTGCGTGCACATCGACTGCAGGATCACCGGGAAGGAAATCTGAAAGCAAGCTGTACTTCAGTAAGCCGAGACTTAAAGCCATGTGAACATGGAAATGCTGCAGCTATAAGTAGTTTTGATCCCTGAACTGTGGACTTGGCTTCTCTGTATACAAATGACTTTTGCTGTCCTCGGGTCTTTAAACCCAGACGTTTATTTCAGGTAGCCTGGCGGTTTTTGTGGTGCCATCAAGTCCTCATTTATGTTAACACATAAAAGTGTTATCACCCATACTGCAAGTTTCGATTTTAACACTATATCCTTGACATCAATAAACTCTGGAAAAGACAAGGGAAAATGAATAATTAATGTAAAACTATGTCCCTTGAAATTAAATATTTAGTTATTCCCATTAGTATTTTTTAAGAATTTTTTCACATTATCACTGCTTTCAGAAATAATGACATTCACATACTAAAACTGTGAAAAATGTCACTTTTAAATTGAATGTTATTTTTAAAATACTAAGTCTGAGTGTAAATACTCAAATAATGACATTTTTTTCTGCCCTCTCACAGAATACCCAGAGGATAAGCAGCTCTCAAGCCACTCAGCCTCTAGCCACCCCAGTCGTGTCTGTGACCACCCCAAGCTTGCCTCCGCAGGGACTGGTGTACTCGGCCATGCCGACCGCCTACAACACTGGTGAGTCTGCGCTCGTGCCTTTCGTGATTTGGGTTCTTTGTTTTGTGATCAGCGTGTGCTTTTCTGAGTTTTTTAAAGATCTGTTGATTGAAATAAATGATATCCAGTGTTTCACATTCACATTTGGATGTATTAAACACTAACTTTGAAAAACGTACAGAAAGTACAATGACCGTAGAATGGTTTCCCAGCATTGACCTTTACTTCCCCCTGACAAAGAAACAGACGGCCGTCGTCAGAATTACGGCCTATGCGTCAGACCAAGGGGGTTGACGGACTGTTGTCCTTTCTCATCACACAGCCCCTTGCTTTTCCAGGCTGTTGAAGGGAGAGGTTTTTCTCTTCGTGCCACATTAGCCAGCCCGGGGAAGACGGAGCCCCCTTGAACTTGGGCCCCCCACCTCCCTCCCCCTGCGGCAGATGCATCGCTGTGCTGGGCACGTTGTGTTGTCCTCCATGTGTTTGTGCCTCAGGAGCAAGACCAGGACCTTTTGTGTTTCTCCTCGGAGCCAGTCGTCACTCCTCTCTTGGGAGAGGATCTTTTTGCCCATTTATGTTTATTTAGACATTTCATTTTAAAATACCCTATTTCAGGACGGTGTCAGGAAAATCTACAACTGCTTCCTTGAGTGGAGGGGCGCTCAGAGCTGCGCGGGCCGTGCGGACAGTCCTCCACTCACATCCGCCCTTCCAAGAAGAGGCAGCGGGTGCACGTGGCTGCACGCTCACCAGCCAAGGCAGGCACCTGACGCTTCAGAGAAGCTAACCGTGGAACTTAGGGACTGTCGGGGGAGAACGACACAGGACAGACAGCTCTCGGAATAATTTATTATAGTCATGTTAAGAGCTGCATTGAGCTTCGGCCTAAGGGAGCACACGTGACTCAACCAGGCAGAGTAGGAAGAGTGTTCTGGGAAGAGGGAGCACAGTGTACAAAGGCTGGGAGACAGGAGCACGGCTGGGGCGGGGGCAGGGGTGGTACGGGGCGGTTAGGGTTGACACTATAGAGGTAAGTAACAATTTAGAGGCCGTGTTGAAGATTTTGGATATTGAGAGCGCTGGGAAGCCATAGAGTTTTAAGCAGAGAGTTACAGGATCATATTTATTGTTTTAAGATCGCATTGGCTACAGTGTTGAGAGGGGCAAAACTACATGTGAGGAGCCCATGCTGGAGGCTGGGTCGATCGCCCCAGTAGCAGATACCAGTGGCCTGGACTTGGAGGGGTGGCGGCAGAGCTGGTGACTTGGGCAGGTTGGAGACAGTACATAGAACTGACCAGCCTTGATGGTTGGTAGTGGAAGTAGGAGGGAAGTATCAACACCTACAGGCTTCTGGCACCAACAATGATGTGAATGTCGGTACCGTTTATCAAGATGAGGAGCAGGTTTAGAGGAAAAGAGGAATCCAGTTTGGGTGTCAGATTTGAGCGGTTAGGAGGGACATCCAGACGTAGCAAGTTAGCAAGTAGGGGGGTGGCAGGACCTATGGGTAAAGAGTTGCTGGCCGCAGGGGGTCGCTGCGGAAGGCAGCAGTGTGAGGGCGCCCCGCACCAGCCTCTGGGACCCCCCCAGGCAGTGGGGGAGAGCGGGGCGTGAGGAGCAAGCGCGGAGGTGGGCCTGTCTGAGCGCCACCTGCGCTCTTTGTGCTCCGTTCCTTTTTTATTAATGTGAATTTGCTAGGAAGACCAACTTCTTTAAATACCTCTCTTGAGACATGGAAAAGCAGTTAAAACTAGAAGGGTTTTTGCCACCTCTCTTTAAAACTAAATGGAAAAGACAAGTGTTAATGAAGAACTGAAATAACTTTATGTGTGAATGATACCTAATGTCCTAAGTCTTGACCAAAGTGACTACTGTCTGAAGCATTCATGTAAAATGAGCTATAGTATATATTGTACTCTTGTAACACATATTTTCATGAACTTGAAATTATTTTGAGGCAGTCAGGAATCTTTGACAGTCCCTGTACTTTGAACACATGCAGTTAATCGGTCGTGTAATGATGTATGATTTATGCCACTGAGCTTGACGCTGCATGAGAAGGGGCGCCGTGTCTTTCCTGCTACCCTCGTACTTCAAGAACATAAGACCTGCTGTTCTAGACTCAGCCTGACCGTCCCTCCTTTTCCAGGAGGGTAGCGCTGGACACATTTAAAATAATGGTTGTGTAGGAACAGCCTGTAGCGGTGGCCTTTTCATTATTTCTATTTACTGGAAAAAGTATCTCAACTTGTTATGAGACATTAAACTATAAACACTTAGTACAAAGTTGAAACTTCCTGAAATAATTGCAGACAAACAAAAATGGCCGGGACCTTCAGCCTCGCGGCAGAAGAACCGTTGTGGGGCTAGAGCTGTGTGCTGGTTTAGGCCATAAAGTGCCTGCCTTCTCTCAAGCTGGGAGCTTCTGGAGCTACTGTTTGAAAAACCGACTTCGCGTGGGCCTCCTGTTACACACACGAGCAAGACTCCTCTCCTTGTTTCAGATTACTCGCTGACTGGCGCGGACCTGTCGGCCCTGCAGGGCTTCAGCTCGCCGGGAATGCTGTCTCTCGGGCAGGTGTCGGCCTGGCAGCAGCACCAGTTAGGACAAGCAGCCCTCAGCTCTCTGGTGTGAGTAGCTAGACATTTCCCCAGATCTCGCTCTGCTCCTAGCCCGTGCGCTTCCTTTTTCTAGCAGTTACAGTCTTTGCGCTGTTGGCTTTCATGTGACTGTCCTACAGCGATTTTTTTTAGGCGGTACGAGTGTGGTGAAAAGATTTCCTTTACGATGATTCTAGATAATAGCTCGGATACCGAGCAAACTAGGCATTCCTTGAGGAGATTCGGGCAGCAAGGCTTCTCTCATATGGAGGTAGAGAGACTCCCGTAGTAACCAAGGGCCACCGTGGCACAGAGGTCACCGTACGCACCGCCTGCTGCCTGGTCCCGGCCCTCCTTCACAGCCTCTGGACCTGATTCCAGTGTTGGGAAAATGCGGCTTGAAGGTACTCAGGCCCCCTGCCGCTTTCTCCCCCCTCTGCCGCGGTGCTTATCCGTGCACACAGGGAACAGAAAACGACGTGGCCAACCCTCCTGGGGGCCGGCTGGCTCTGCTCCTCGGCCTCCTCTGGGGACATGCTCTCCTCCAGCTACACGGCCCGCTGTCCCGGTTCTGCAGAGGCTGTTCCTTGTCCTTCCTGCCGGCCCCGCCTCCTCTCCCGGCGCCACTGAAACCCTTCTCACTCAGATCCCCTCACCCCGCCCGGGAGGCTGTTCTCTTTGTGGGGCTGTGCTTGCTGAGGGACCTGCACCGCCACCGGCCTGGGTCAACCGCACGCAGCCCTGGAGCCTGGTTCCCACGCAAGGGTCCAGACCCCTGCCGTTCCTCCCTCCCTTCCACCGAGAGAGCAGAGGGTTTTCCCTTCATTTATTTGCTTTGCCTGTTGGCCCTCGAGGCGTCTCTCCATCCTAAGGAACACACTCAAAATAGCCCCCCAGAAGCAAGTGGAAAGGGCTTGCGCTCGGGCCGGGAGAACAGGCTGCGCACACACCGCGCCGTCCTGCTCCGAGCAGGTTAGCTGTTCCCAGACCGTTTCCTCGCCTGGCAAACAGGGCGCTGTGACGGAAGAGAGCGAGAAGAGAGAGGAAGCAGAGTGCAGGCTGCCGTGTGGCTCCTCTCTCGTCCTCTCTCTCTGCCGCACGGCGGCCGGCGTCAGACCCCGACCCACGGGCTCCTCCACCTGCTGGAGTGCCACGGGTGCGGGTGGGCCAGCCACTGGAGCTCTCGTCTGGACTGTTCCTTTCCTTGCAAGGAGAGGTGACTAAAACCAGTCGTGGGGAATTCTGACAGCACGTCAGTCAGGCGGTGTCTGTACCACCTTCCAGTGACAGGGCTGCGCTCGCGAGCCACTTCACGTCTTCTTTCTGTTTTCTTTTTTCCTTCAGTGCTGGAGGGCAGTTATCTCAGGGTTCGAATCTATCCATTAATACCAACCAAAACATCAACATTAAGTCAGAACCAATCTCACCTCCCCGGGATCGAATGACCCCGTCAGGCTTCCAGCAGCAGCAACAGCAGCCGCCGCAGCCCCCCCAGGCCCCCCAGCCCCGGCAGGAAATGGGGCGCTCCCCCGTGGACAGTCTGAGCAGCTCCAGCAGCTCCTACGATGGCAGTGACCGGGAGGATCCGCGGGGCGACTTCCACTCTCCAGTTGTGCTTGGCCGACCCCCAAACAGTGAGGACAGAGAAAGCCCTTCCGTAAAGCGAATGAGGATGGACGCGTGGGTGACCTAGGGCTCCCAGGCTGGTGCTTGTGCTTCGCGTTGCCGCAGTGAACTGCTATCCACATCGGTAAATAAGGACAGGAGTTAGCTCTATTTATATGTACATACATACATATATATCCCTTTCTATATATATATGTATGTGGGCGTGAGTGTGTGTGTGTGGGTGTGTGTCGCATTCGGAATCAGGCACTTAGCTGCCTCGTAGATCTGCAGATGTGCGTCCCATGGCAGACAAAGCACCCTGTAGGCAGAGTCTAGTCTGGCACTTCCTTGGACTACTTGTTTCATAAGATAACCAGTTTTTGCAGAGAAACGTGTACCCATATACGATCCTCCCACACTAGCTTGCAGAAACCTAGAGGGCCCCTACTTGTTTTATTTAACTGTGCAGTGACTGTAGTTACTTAAGAAAAATGCTTTGTAGAACAGAGCAGTAGAAAAGCAGGAACCGAGAAAGCAATACTGTACATAAAACGTCATTTATATTAATTACCCAGCCTGGCATGGGTTCTCTGTTGCGGAGGGGTGCATGGGAAGGGCTGTTGATATTTTAAAAAACAAAACAAAAAGCCCCACACATAACTGTTTTGCACGTGCAAAAATGTATTGGGTCAGAGAAGTGATCTTTAGCTAATAAAAAAGAGAGAGAGTAGAAAACACGCATGAGATATTCAGAAAATACTAGCCTAGAAATATAGAGCATTAACAAAATAAATTAATATATTAAGTTATAATTGGACTATGTCAGAAGTTTCTTTTTACATTCATATCTTAAAGAAACTGATTTTAGCTCATGTATATTTTATATGAAAGAAAACACCCTTATGAATTGATGACTATATATAAAATTATATTCACTACTTTTGAACACATTCTGCTATGAATTATTTATATAAGCCAAAGCTGTATGTTGTAACTTTTTTTTAAGAGAATAGCTTTATCTTGTTTTAACTTTTAGTTTTATTTTAAGAGGGGGAAGAAAACAAAACAATTTAAAATATCTTGCAAGCAGAACCTTGGAAAAAAAAAGCCATGAACACTTATTATTCTATATGTAAATTAAAAGTTGAGCCAAACTCTTTGTTGTACATAGCATCTTAAAATATATTATCACCTTTGATGTAAGTACCTATGTATTGTATGGTCACCAGATTAAAAAGTATATTTTTGTGGATTGCCGCCAATTTGGGGGGAAAAGGCGAGATCCTTATCAAGTAGAGTATTCACTGTTTAATATTTACTATTTTGTTAAATATACTGTACTTTGGATTTTAATTATTAGCCCAGTCTTTTCAGAGGATTGTATAAAGGGGTTTCTCCCCTCACTGGTGGTGAATGTGTGATGTTACATTGTAATCTTTGTGCTGTATGGGTTGAGCATCATTATATATTTTATATGTGTACATAAATAGCAAAGTGGCAAAAAAAAAATGGTGTTAAGTTCATCTTGCATAAATATAAAATGTGTTGTAACAGATTTTATAAGGCATTATTTAAAACTTGCCTTTTGTGAGGAAAAAACTATAGTAGAAAAAGCTGACCTAATTTAATTAATATTAGAGAACATGGCAAAATAGTAGATGAGCACAAAGGTTTTATAAGTGGTAAATGATTAGGGAAAAATATTTTGGGGGGAAGGGATCTTTTCTTCCTTGACTCTCTAAAATAGAATGATGCAGCTGGTGACAGAATCCTACCATCCTGAACTCTCTGTGCATTGAAACGACACTCGGGTGTGGGGAGAAAGCCTCTCCTGGGCAGGTCCGTGGCACGGCTGGCGTCCTGACCGACCCCGTGCCGCGCTCCACTCAGCTTTTGAACAAGGCCTTACCCCTCCTGCACGCGGCCGGCGAAGCCGTGGTAGCAGGTTCGTCCGTTTCCTGGGCTCGTGCCACAAACAAAATTCAAAGTCCTGTAGATCTTTCATCATAGAGTTTTTAAATATTCCCTTTCCTGCGAAACTCAAAATAAGGGTTTAAGAGTTGCTGCTGTTTTGTATTTTAAACTCAATATCGAGCAGCTACCTACAGTTTTTACTTCCGTTTTGCTTTTCCCCCTAAATTGCCTGCCTTTTGACAATTTCCTCATAGTGCAACTTGTGACAAATCATCAGTCAGCTTTCCTGACTGACACATAGGTATTAGGTACAGGATAAACCTGCGGCGCTCACGACTACAAAAGTGGAATTCTCTTTTAATTTTTGATTGAGGCCAAAAAAGAGAGGGTGACGTGCTCTCTCCTGCCGTCAGTATAGACGTTTGGCTCTTCCTCAGAAAGGATTAGTTTTTCTTTAAAATGTACTTCTTTTACTGAACTACATACAGGCACATTTCTTCATAAGGTCACACCGGATTGAAACAAGACAGTCTCCCAACACTGAGTTTCCAAGACGATCCTTACCACTTTGTAAACCATTTATAGCTTTGAAAGTGTTAAGTGATTCTTTCGTTCCTATTTATGCATGTTCATGAACTTCTGCTGTACACGGGATAGGAGTTAACACATTCACATTTACTGTCTATTTTCTTGTGTGCCTTATGAGATGGCTTTTCTGACTGTATCTCAATAGTCTTTCTTTCTATGCAGGTTTATAATCAGTACAACTACTGTTTTCTAAAATAATATTACACAAGGCTCGGAGTTTGTATTTCAGTGACACTGACCAAGTAACCATGTATTCCGTTTTCAGGAAGCGAGTATCTGACTGTTAACCCTCTTCCTGTATGCCCGGTGTGACGTGGCGCATACGGACATGACAGACACCCCTCACCCAGACACCATGTACAGACACACACGCACGCACACCCCCTGGTGGAGACCGGCTCGCAGTGGGGGAGACCCGATCGGGGTTTCTTTAGAACCGACCTTTCTTACCGTTTTAGACTCCTGTGTTTTTGTATGGCACCATCGCAAGAGAATTTCATCCTTCAGATGACGTATTTTATTACTAAAAGACAAAAACAAAAAAAGCGTAGAGTCCACCGCACCGGTTGAGGCGCCACCGCCACCAGCCGTGCTTCCCTCCGCGTGCCGCCGCGAGCAGTGCCACCAGCGTCCGTCTGCACATGGTCCCAATCGAAACTCCATCTTTTGAGCCCTAATTATGTCCATTGTGTTCGAGACTAAATCAGGGGTTTGTTCTGACAGAACAATATATGTTGTACCATTTCCTTTAGCTATAAGGACAGCTAGTAAAGCATTAACATATTTTCTTGATTAACCATCACGCGCACAAGAAATACATAGTAAATAAGGAACCAGAAAACTCCTGGCGTCGGATCATGAGAAGCTAGATGAGTAGAATGTGAAAAAGATTTTACAAATGTAAAACTTTTATTTCTCTGTAGAAACTTTCTTCACTTTGCTGTGCAAGAAGACACTGCTTTGCTATATTTAAAACGGCTTTTTTAAAAAGAGATTTATGTATTTGGTAAATGTTTGTAGTCAACAGTTCACACAAGAAGCTGTACACGGTTTGATCACTTAAAACCGTTTGGCGGCACAAGCTGGACTTTGTTGCCATCCTTGAGATGAACCTTTTAAGAAAAATAAGTTAATCTCAATTTTTCCCTGAATGTGTTGTTTTTTCTTCATTATACAATAAATATTATAGTGAACTTTTTATCAAATGGTTAAGAAAATGCTAGAGGTTGTTGTAAACTATTTGTATCCTGCACTCACTACAGTAAAGACGGACTGGCTTTTCCTGTGTACTCCAGACTCTGTCATGTTTGCCGCCAGTCGGCCCCCTCGCCCCCTTCCCTGCCCAGTCCCCTCCCCTCACAGGCCTCTTCCACCTGCAGAGCCCCTTTACTTGACCTTGAGACTCGCTCAAGGAGATGGCCACAGCATGTGGCCAGCCTTACCCCTAGCTTCTCCCTGGGCCTCCCCTCCTGGGCGGCAGCCGGCAATCCGGGTCCCCGCATCGGGGCCGTCACTGCAGCTGGTGTGGACCCGGGTGAGCCCATTCAGGCTCCAGTAACGACTTCTTGCGGGACAGATGCGTGGGGGGCCGGGTGGGTACTGCTAAACGGGATCTGATCGTATATATAGCAAGTTCTGTCTCTGGAATTTAGGGGGCGGGATGGTTTGTTTTACCCAAAATGCATACATAATCCTGAGCGAGCAGAAGACAGATTTTCTAAATGAATTATTTTCAGAAGTGACAGGTGTGAAAACAAACTTGGCAGTGTGGACAGCGTTCGCCTCCTTGGATCTGCCTTTTAAGCCAGCGCCTAACTAAGCAGATTCTTGCTGTCAGCCACGTTAAAAGCTGCATTTGTGTGCTGGTTTCACTTGCTGGCTACAGTGCGGCCCTTATTAGCAGGGTTTGAAAGCTGGTGGAGGCCTGCGGCTAAAAATAGTGTCATCACAGCTGTGGCTCCTTAAAGTCCATTCACTGCGATCCCCGAGTTCGCTCCCACGGGCTCCTCCCTCCGGGCTGGGGCTGATTCAGTGTCTGCCTGGCACCAGCCAAGACGCCGCTGTTGCCGGAGCCCTGCGCCAGCCCGACGGCCCAGGCCACTCTCCTCTGCCCGTCTGGCCCCTGCACAGGGTCAGAGCAGCATCCGGCCGTAGAGCTGCGGAAACCTGGGTTTCTTCCCACCTTCCCCGCAGTCAGGGGGCCACCTGCTACCTGGGACACTAGGAGAGGGACTCCTCTGGGGCGAGGGCGCGCTTGGCCCAGTGAGTAAGAGTTGAGCCCTGAGACCAGTGTGAGCTGAGGACAAGCGCCGCTGACCGGCCCCAGGCCATTGGCCAATCAATGGGCAATGGGCGCGCACGCGGCTGGGACACGGCCCTGCCCCCTGCAAGAAACCTTGAACTTCCCAGACAACCTACACTGATGCACAGCTCGCCCAGCTCCGGAGAACGTGTCCTGGACTTTGGTCGCTTACACACATCTTGCGCCTGCTCACTCTGTACCAAAGCAGCTGAAGGCAGCTGGGGAAGAGTAGCAAAACTCACGGTTGTACTAACTGGTTTCTCTGTATCATCCCCCTTCCCCGTTTTAAGCTTTTTTTTTAAAGCTTCACTTTGAACTAATTTTTAACTTTCAGAAAAGCTGCAAAAATCGTTTCCATATATCCTTCCCCCAGCTTTCCCTAATGTTAACGTTTACGTAACCATCGTCCTACTCTCGGAACCAGGAAGCTGACGCTGTTAGGGCACTCCCAAGCCCTGCCTCCTGTCACTGGCCAGCATCACCACACCCACCTGTCACCAACCCCTCCGGGGCCAGCACAGCCACGGGGGGCGGGGCGGGGGGTCACACAGCAATGGGGCCCCAGCAGCTGCTTGCCGGTCAAAATCAAGCCCTGCCTTGTGTTACTGGCCAGCACCGCCACGCCCACCTGTGGCTACCGCTGGTCCCTCCGGCTGAGAACCTGCCTCACCTTTGGCGCAGCCTCCACTGCAGCGCGCACACCCAGGGGGAGGGTCTGGAGTCCTAGGACAGCACGCTGACGCTCCGTTCTCTGTCAATGCCAGGGAGCCCATAGTTGGCCTCAGCCCTTGCTCCCTGCCCTGACACCCATCACAGCTTTGTCCACAAGTCACCTCTGCCACTTCGTAGGTGCCTACAGCCGTCCCCCACCCCCACCCCAGTCAGGTGGGTGCACACCATTGGTTCCAGCCACCAACGCTGCCTGCCCTGGCCCCTAGCTACTGACTGGTCCCAGAGGCATGTCTGAGAAGCTCAGTAGTGTTCATTGAGGAATACACAGTTGTCAACAGTGTGGATGCCAGTGACGTGAGCCAAAGCGACATCATGCCCCGACTGGCCTCACCGCCACCAGGTACTCCTGCGTCTGTTGCCATGCACACTAGACCTGGGTCCCAGCACGGTCTGGCGTGCCCCTGTCTGCAGGTGAGAGGCTCTCCTAACCAAAATCAGTCCATCAAGTCTGGAAAGGGTGAGGGAAGCAGATTTTGACCAAAGGAACACAGTGAACCTCCAGGAACTGGACCCAGAAAATGGAGATGCAGGTAGTGCCTGACAAATCAAAATCATCGTAGTACCGGTGCTCAGAGCCACAAGAGAACACATAAATGACTGAACTATGAGGAAAACAATACAAGAACAAAATGAGAAGCTCAACAAAGAGAAGACAAAGAACCAAGCACATTTTGGAGCTGAAGAATACAATGAACTGAAAAATTCAATAGTTTCGGCAGCATAGTTGAACAAATAGAAGAGACGAGCCGTGAGTTAGAAGGCAGATCAGTTGAAATTAAACAACTAGAAGAGCAAGTAGAAAAAAAAGGATGAAAAGCAAAAAGAAAGCCTATAGGACAGGACATGATCAAAAGAAATAATGTTTGCACTACTGGAGTCCCAGAAGAAGAGAGGGAGAAAGGAATGAAAAGCTGAAACAATGAGAATTTCCCCGACATGGGGAGAGAATTGGACATCCAAGTTCATGAAGGAATAAGTTGCCACAAAATTTCAACCCAGCATGTTCTCCAAGAATAATGAAATGGTCAAAACTGAAAGATTTTTAAAAGCTGGAAGGGAAAAAAGATTCTCTCATATGAGGGGACCCCCCTCATAAGGCTATCAATAGATTTCTCAGCAGATTCGAACAGGCAAAGAGAGTGGGGTGATACATTCAAAGTGCTGAAAGAAGGGACCGCCAACCAGGAATACTCCCCCCAGCAAAGCCGTCCTTCAGAAGTGAAGGTGAAAGAAAATCTTTCCCTAATAAACAAAAGTTGAGGGGATTTATCACCACTAAACTGCATTAGAAGAATTGCTCAAAGGAATTTTTCCAGCTGATACTAAAGGATGCTTATTAGTAGTTTGAAACCATATGGAAATATACAAGACACTGGGAAAGATAAGCATAGAGTCAGATTTAGAATACTTTCACACTGTTTATATGGTGATATGCTAGGTAAGGATTCACCTAGATAAAGATTAAGAGGTACAGCCTTGACAATATGTTCAAGGATACACAAATAAACAATGTAAATGGTGTCCTTGAAAATGTAAAAGGGGGCGGGGGAAGAGGATAGATTTTTTTATATGTGATCAAATTAAACTTATCAGCATAATCTACACTGTGATATGTACAAGATTTTTTATGTAAACCTCATGGGACTCCAAAACAAAAATCTACAACAGATACACGAGAAGAAGGGAATCAAAATATACTGCTACAGAGAATCATTTAATTGCAAAGAAAGGCAACACAAAGAAAAGAAAAACTGAACTGTAAACAGCCAGAAAACAATAAAATGGCAGAAGTCTTTTCCTGTCAATAATTATTGTAAATGTTAACAGACCAAATTCTTCAAGGCAGACTGGCTGGGTGGCTCACTCGGTTAAGCGTCCGACTTCAGCTCAGGTCATGATCTCACAGTTCGTGGGTTTGAACCCCGCATCGGGCTCTGTGCTGACAGCTCAGAGCCTGGAGCCTGCTTCAGATTCTGTGTCTCCCTCTCTCTCTGCCCCTCCCGTACTAGTGCTCTGTCCCTGTCTTTCAAAAACAAATAAATATTTTTAAAAAATGTTTTAAAGGCTGGCTGGATAAAAACAAGAAAACCCAGAAAACAAAACAGGCAAACAAACAAACAAAAAAAACCCAACTATATTATGCTACAAGAGACTCACCTCAGCTTTAAGGACACAGATAGATTCAAAGTGAAAGTGGCAAGAGATAACTCCATGCAAATGGAAACCAAAAGAGCATGCATGGGTAGCTATACTAATGTCAGACAAAATGGACTTTGAGCCAAAAACGGTAAAAAGAGACAAAGATGGACATAATATAATAAGGGGTCAATTCATCAAGAAGATACAAAAATTATATATATATATATGTACCCAACATCAGAGCACCTGAATTATATTACATGAATTCTAACGGATTTGAGAGGAAAAATAGGTAACACCATAGAAGGGGACTTCAATACCCTACTCTCCACAACAGATCATCCAGATTTTAAAAAATCTGTGAGAAAGCATTGGACTTGAACTATACTTTAGACCATATGGACCAGACAGGCATACACAAACATGCCAACCAACAGCAGCAGAATACACATTTTTCTCAAATGCACACAGAACATTCTCCAGGATACATCACACGTAGCTCATAGAAAAGTTTTGGGGCACCTGGGTGGCTCAGTCAGTTGAGTGTCCAACTCTTGATTTTGGCTCAGGTCATGATCCACTTTTGTGGGATCCAGCCCTGCATTGGGCTCTGTGCTGAGTGCAGAGCCTGCTTGGGATTCTCTCTCCTCTCTTTACCCCTCCCCTGCTCACACACTCGCTCTTTCTCAAAATAAATAATAAACAGTTTCTTTTAAAAGCCTTAGCAAATTTTATTTAAAAGATTGAAAAAATACCAAGTATCTTTTCTGACTATAGTGAACACTATAGTGGTGTGAAACCAGAAATTAATAACAGGAGGAAATCTGGAAAAATAATAAATATATGGAGACTAAAACACATGGTCCTGAGCAAAAAGGTGAAAGAAGTAAAAGAAAAATCAAGAAGTATCCTGAAATAAATGAAAATGGAAACAATATGTCAAAAGCAAAAGTAGTTCTTGTTTTTTTTTTTAATTTTTTAAAATATATTTCTGAGAGAGAGCACATGTGCATACACATGAGCCAAGGAGGGGCAGAGAGGGAGACTGAGAATCCCAAGCAGGCTCCATGCTGACAGAAGAGAGCCCAATGCCGGGCTCGAACTCACAAACCACGA